TCAACGATTGGTTTTGTATGCTCGGGGGCAAAATGCATTAAAGTACCAAATGCTATCATTTTGGCCATAGCCTCAGGGGACAGATTATTGTCTTTATCTAACCAAGTTGAATTATTCATAGCAGAAACTAAGGCATACAGATACTGATCGAGACGGCTAGTAAACGCATTAAACGATTCACCAGGCTGCATGGTGGCATTGGCAATTTTCTTGACTAACCTATATGGGTCAAGGTCTCCTTTATTAACAAAGCGACGGCGAAAGAAATCCTTAAATTCAGGCCAAGACTGGAGGCTAACAATGGCTTTCTCATCAACAACAAAACGTGCATCACCTTTGGTTGTGTCCACGGCTGACCGTGCAATTGCTAAGTATTCGGCATCAGTAGGCTTAGAAAAACGTGCAACTGTTTTCGCTTCAACCTTACTAAACCATGATTCTAATAAACGCGATTCCCCAGCAAAAAGAGGAATAGCCATTTCCTGAGCTGATCTCTGGCCATTGGGACGAGCAACTGTTCCCATTGATTCTGAAGGGTTTCAACAGTGGTAGGCATTGTCACAGCCGTGGAAGTAATATTTGAACGCAGATTATAATTAAGTGCACCTGGCATCAGAAATAGTATACACAAAAATAAACACAAAAAAATATCAACTTGGCTAAAGTAAAAATGGCAGAAATAAAATTATTAAATTGGGCTAGGCAAGAAAATAATCAAGAACAAGCAATTGTAAACTAAATTTAGCAATCTTTCATTAAAAAAATGACTGGAATTAGATGTATGTAAATTAATTAAACCAGACTAAGCACAGCAATTTAGAATAAAAACTGGGAAATGCAATTGCAAAATTTCATTAAAAAGATTCAACACAACAAGTGGCAATGCAAGAAATATGGATGTAGCACATAAACTGGACACAGGAATGTATATAACTCCTATGGTAAAAGTTTAAAATAAAATGCTTAAAGGATAAATTTCAAGTTAGGTCTGGAGAAATTAAAAAAATTATATTGCACAAATCCTTAACTGCTACTAAAACAAGGATTTCTTAATTCACTGGAATTTGAATTTACCAATAACACTCTAGGAGAACAATTAAAATTCAATGAAATTACTGTAAGAAGCAGGAATGTTGAAATCACACAGGAAAACTGTGGGGAGTGCAGTACTGAACCAGCTCCAATATTTAACAAGTCACTGAATGGTTAATTCACAGGATATTATGGGAATTATTACATAAGTCACTTTTTAACACTTGGCACGTTGTTCTCAACTAGCAATTACTTATCTCAGGGTTGTAATTTATGAGGATCACCAGTAGCCAAAGTAGGAGAAAATATATACAGAAGCGACTACTGAGTCTACATTCTACCCGAACAAGGCAAACGAATACTGGTAGCAGCAGTGGGATCCAGAAATTTTTTTCTGGAAGCAAAAGTTCCAGTACCCAGCATCGCCTCGTGTTCCAGCTAAAACCGCCGCCACCGCCACCGCCATATCCCACCGCTGCCACCAGTATTCATTTGCCTTGTTCGGGTAGAATGTAGACTCAGTAGTCGCTTCTGTATATATTTATTGACTGAGATAGCAAGGTAAATATCTGCCTAGCCGAGGTCCTTCTACTCTGAGTCTGTGAGGATAACTGAGGCTGCTGGGAGCATGCTTGATGCTCCTCTGTCTGGCATGACGTCAGAGGCCTACTTGCCTGTGATTGGTTACATTTCAACTGACAGAATTTGAGTATAACACCGGTACCTGGCCACCACCACCATACTGGTACCTGGCCACCACCACCATACTGGTACCTGGCCACCACCACCATACTGGTACCTGGGTACCACCACCACCATACTGGTACCTGGCCACCACCACCATACTGGTACCTGGCCACCACCACCATACTGGTACCTGGCCACCACCACCATACTGGTACCTGGCCACCACCACCATACTGGTACCTGGCCACCACCACCATACTGGTACCTGGCCACCACCACCATACTGGTACCTGGCCCACCACCCTGGCCACCATACTGGTACCTGGCCACCACCACCATACTGGTACCTGGCCACCACCACCATACTGGTACCTGGCCACCACCACCATACTGGTACCTGGCCACCACCACCATACTGGTACCTGGCCACCACCACCATACTGGTACCTGGCCACCACCACCATACTGGTACCTGGCCACCACCACCATACTGGTACCTGGCCACCACCACCATACTGGTACCTGGCCACCACCACCATACTGGTACCTGGCCACCACCACCATACTGGTACCTGGCCACCACCACCATACTGGTACCTGGCCACCACCACCATACTGGTACCTGGCCACCACCACCATACTGGTACCTGGCCACCACCACCATACTGGTACCTGGCCACCACCACCATACTGGTACCTGGCCACCACCACCATACTGGTACCTGGCCACCACCACCATACTGGTACCTGGCCACCACCACCATACTGGTACCTGGCCACCACCATATTGAAAACGTGTCATGTTATTTGCGGTCCTTTACAGACGTTATTGTTGTGAACGGTTTATATATCCCTCCCCCCCCCCCCCGCCTCTCCCTCCCCCACCTAAAGGAGGCAGCCCTTAAAAGCTGTCTAACTTCTAGGTACGACTTCCTGGTATTGATTTCTTAACACTTCTCGAAAGGTTAGTGTCCTAGAGCCCTAGAGCCTTAGAGCCCTAGAGCCTTGTGTCAATATAAATTTGATGAAGAACCTCGAGCGTTCAACGCCCTCTAGCGAACTCGATCAAGGTAAAAGTGGATAATATTTTATCCCCTGATCATCATTTCTGCCACTGGAGAGTTGCTGTTTGTGGTTCACACGAACAGCAACAACACACAACACATCTCTTCCCTCTGGGATATAGAACACCTCTCCACCTACTCTGGGATATAGAACACCTCTCCACCTACTCTGGGATATAGAACACCTCTCCACCTACTCTGGGATATAGAACACCTCTCCACCTACTCTGGGATATAGAACACCTCTCCACCTCCTTATTGACACAATACTTTCGTTCTCGCCTTCCATTAACCCTACATTTTCAAGACAGCCTCAGACCTGCTTCCTCTACCCCTCCCTGCTCTTGCTCTTCACTATCTTCCCCTGTTCTTCTCCAGCGAGTTAATGCTCTTCTCGTCCATTTTCATATGTCCATTTATATGCATGAGCTTCTTTCTTTCCTCCATAATTGTTCTGTGAAATACGGTTGACCTCCGAAGCAAGAGTCCATAGTCATTATTCTCTCATATATATCTGGGTGTATATGATATATATACACCCAGATATATACAGATGAGGAGTCACAGTAACGTGGCTGAAAAATGTTGACCAAACCACACACTAGATATTGAAGAGACGACGACGTTTCGGTCCGTTCTGGGCCATTATAAAGTCGATAGTGATGAGAGGAAGGAGGCAAAGGCAACAAATAGGCAAAAGAGAAAGGTGAGGAGAAGGAAATCTTACAGGAAGAAAAAAGCAAGACAACAGGTACGGAAGATAAGGTATAATAAAGGGGATAATAATAGGAATAAGAAATGGATCGTAAGAGAAAACAAGGTAAAGAAAAAGAATGATAAAATGAAAGTTAAGCTTATCTTTCTAGTGTGTGATAAGATATATATATCCATCATGTACGTGTTTCCACATACTCTACCGCTACACTGTTATATCTGAGACTGTTCTCTACCATTACAACATTATATCGAGTGTTCTCTCCACTCACACCATTGTGACTGTGAGTGTTCTCTTCACTCACACCATTGTGACTGTGAGTGTTCTCTTCACTCACACCATTGTGACTGTGAGTGTTCTCTTCACTCACACCATTGTGACTGTGAGTGGTCTCTCCACTCACACCATTGTGACTGTGAGTGTTCTCTACACTCACACCATTGTGACTGTGAGTGTTCTCTTCACTCACACCATTGTGACTGTGAGTGGTCTCTACACTCACACCATTGTGACTGTGAGTGGTCTCTACACTCACACCATTGTGACTGTGAGTGGTCTCTACACTCACACCATTGTGACTGTGAGTGTTCTCTACACTCACACCATTGTGACTGTGAGTGGTCTCTACACTCACACCATTGTGACTGTGAGTATTCTCTACACTCACACCATTGTGACTGTGAGTGGTCTCTCCACTCACACCATTGTGACTGTGAGTGGTCTCTCCACTCACACCATTGTGACTGTGAGTGTTCTCTACCACCAACACCGGCTTTCGTGTTCCTTGAGCTCAGTGTATATCCCCCACCCCCCAACATTTTAAATGTTTTCTCTATAAATATATTTTTTCCCGTTGCCTCTTCTCGACTGAATTCTCACTGCTCATCAGACTCATAGTTCTGGTCGTCGGCCGCTTCTGAGTCATCACCGAGAACCTGAGTTAAGACTCCATGCAGCTCCCAATACTTTTTTTTATTTCGAGAACTTCTCCGAGCTCTTAAATATAAAGAAACCACTGTTGGCGACTATCCACCTTTAAACGTATCGTGTTTGAGTATACGAGCCCGCCGCTGTCTCTCCGCTGCGTAATACCGTCTTGGAAGTGAAATGCTGTACTGGCCTACAAGCGGCCTTATTGCCTGTTACTTCTCTTTTTTTTTTTTAGTCCAGATCAGTATAGCGGAATGAAGTGATCTGAGCCTTATTGCGCGACACATGGAAGGAGTTGATCACTGGCTCAGAGATGCCAGAATCCCACCGCTGCCACCATTGTAACGGTAGTATGGTGCCCCGTTGTTTCCATTGTAACTTACCAATGGCACACCACTGCTATCATTGAAACCTTAGGCTCAGTCACACTCGTACTCCTTGGTGTTCGACCACCGAGTGCCACGTGTACTATGATCACTGCTGATAAGCTGCGTATTCCTTCAGGCTGTAACAATTGTAAGATGTACACTCCTGAGAACTGTCGAGCCTGCCCTTACGACGTTCGAGCCTACCCTTAAAACTGTCGAGCCTGCCATTACCACTGTCGAGCCTGCCATTACCACTGTCGAGCCTGCCATTACCACTGTCGAGCCTGCCATTACCACTGTCGAGCCTGCTCTTACGACTGTCGAGCCTGCTCTTACGACTGTCGAGCCTGCCCTTACCACTGTCGAGCCTGCCCTTACCACTGTCGAGCCTGCCCTTACGACTGTCGAGCCTGCCCTTACCACTGTCGAGCCTGCCCTTACCACTGTCGAGCCTGCCCTTATGACTGAATGCTCAACCAGAAAATCTTGCTTTTTACATGTCTTTGTAAGACTTGTAAAGACGTGACGTGATTACAAGTCTTGTAAGACTTGTAATCACCTTTGTAAGTTTAAGTTTAAGCAAGTTTGTAAAACTTCGCTTGTGGTTTAAGCGAGTCAGTGCATATATATATATATATATATATATATATATATATATATATATATATATATATATATATATATATATATATATAATATATATATATATATATATATATATATGTATATACATACATATAATATGTATATATGTATAAATAATATGTATATATGTATATAAATGGAAGTGTTCGTTTGTTCAAAATCGTTAATCTCCAAAAGTTTTACACAGATTGCTTTGAAATTTTCACACAATGTTCCATTCGCATCCGGCCAGGTTTTTATATACATACTATATAAATATCACGTCTGTGATGGTAAAAAAAAACATGCTTTTTCTGAAAAACTGTGTTTTTCATGTGAGGGAAATCTTCGAAACCTCTTTACCTATTGGTTTGAAATTTTGACACATTGCATTCGAATAGGCGCGTATTTTTATATATATCTACTATATACATGCCTCACCTGTGACAGGAAAAAACACGCTTTTTTTTTTTTAAATCGCCATCTGTTGGACGTAAGAGCAACACACGCTGTAATCTCCGAAAGTTCTTAACCGATTGCTTTGAAATTTTGACACAACGTTGCATTCGAATAGGCGCGTCTTTTTATATACCTACTATATAGATGCCACCCCTGTGACAGGTAAAAACATGCATTTTTGAAAAACAGCGCCATCTGTTATCTTGAGGTTATCTTGAGATGATTTCGGGGCTTTTAGTGTCCCCGCAGCCCGGTCCTCGACCAGGCCTCCACCCCCAGGAAGCAGCCCGTGACAGCTGACTAACACCCAGGTACCTATTTTACTGCTAGGTAACAGGGGCATAGGGTGAAAGAAACTCTGCCCATTGTTTCTCACCGGCGCCTGGGATCGAACCCAGGACCACAGGATCACAAGTCCAGCGTGCTGTCCGCTCGGCCGACCGGCTCCCTGTTGCACATAGGTTGCACATAATGGCAACATGCACGCTATACTAAACATGTCATGAATTTTTTTTCAATGTTTCCGATTGCATTGATAAATTTTATTTTCATAGATTTCGAATCATTTTATTTTTTATTGAATTATTTTGTTTGACATTGTGTTGGAATTGAGCTGTGTTGTTTACCCTACCATTCATTTTGTAAGTATAAGTATAGATCCCACATCTGTGAGAGGTTAAACTATGCTTTTCTTGACAAACAGCGCCATCTGTTGCATGTAAGAGCAACACACACGCTATACTAAATGTTACAATACCATTTCAATTTTTCTGACTGCATGAATTTTTCATAGATTTTGATTTATTTCATTTTGATTTAATTATTTTGTGTGAATTGCGTTGGAATTGAGCTGTGTTGTTTACCACACCGTTCATTTCGTGAATATAGTTAATTTTTTATTTTTTAATATTTTCATATATTTTTTTAACTTTTTCTTATATTTCAGTGATGGGAACATCAGACACTTGATGTTCCCAATTTTCTGATGTGAACATCAGACCATTTGGGAAGGCATCGGGCGAGGGAGTGGGGAATGGTGGGGATGACGAGGGGACGGGGGAGTTTGGGATGGTGGGGACGAGGGGTTGGGGGGAATGGAGAATGGTGGGAAGGACAATGAGACAGAAGAGTGGGACATAGTGGGAAGGAAAAGGGGATGGTGGAGTGGGGAATGGTTGGGAGGCCGAGGAGACGGGTGAGGAGAGAATGGTGGGGAGGACTGGGAGACAAGGATGGTTGCTGAGCCACAGCAACGCGTGGCCGGGTCCCAAGCATGCAAACACTCAAAAGCCCAAGCATGCAAACACTCAAAATCGTTCTAAAAACAACAGACAGGCATGAAAACGTCATTAAATCAACACGTAATTACTCACAATTCCCCAAACGCATCATGCAGTCACAATTCTCAGCTCATCGTGACTTAGCGTTACCGATGAGCGTCTAATTATTTATGTTCTCGTGTAAAGTCCAGTCTTCAAAAACAAAACATTAAATCTTAAGTCAATTTTAATGTATATCATTAATTTAAATCATTAAATTAGTTTTACAAGTGTAAGACTAATTTATTACACCATTTTCACAGGAGTGCATTTTCTAGACCGTGTTTCCACATTACAATCACACTACAAAACACAAATAAACTAAAAAAAAATATATATATAAATCACTCAGGCAAACAAATATATATAAACACCTTTAGTAAAATTTGAGAAATGGAGACAAGAGGTTATCTTGAGGTTATCTTGAAATGATTTCAGGGCTTTTTAGTGTCCCCGCGGCCCGGTCCTCAACCAGTCCTCCACCCCCAGGAAGCAGCCCGTGACAGCTGACTAACACCCAAGTACCTATTTTACTGCTAGGTAACAGGGGCATAGGGTGAAAGAAACTCTGCCTATAGTTTCTCATTGAAAAGGAGCGTCGAATTTTGTTTAGAAAACGGAGAAATGCAGCGGAACCTTAAACAAGAGTTTACACGGGGTGATATTTTCTTTTGTAATGTCGACTGTAAATGTATTAAGAGTTAAGGTCGTGGAAAATAGTTAGGTTTTCTGCAGTGCATTGTGTTGTGGTTTATCTTGTTGCAGTCACTGTTGCTGGTGGGCCTGGGCTTTGTTTGTTTGTTTGTTGTGTATTGGATGTGTGTGTCTGCGTGTGTCATGCATGTTTGTGAGTGCTGTACGTGTGTCATGCATGTTTGTGAGTGCTGTGCGTGTATCATGCATGTTTGAGAGTGCTGTGCGTGTCTCATGCTTGTTTGTGAGTGCTGTGCGTGTGTCATGCATGTTTGTGAGTGCTGTGCGTGTATCATGCATGTTTGAGAGTGCTGTGCGTGTCTCATGCTTGTTTGTGAGTGCTGTGCGTGTGTCATGCATGTTTGTGAGTGCTGTGCGTGTATCATGCTTGTTTGTGAGTGCTGTGCGTGTGTCATGCATGTGTGTGAGTGCTGTGCGTGTGTCATGCATGTTTGTGAGTGCTGTGCGTGTATCATGCATGTTTGTGAGTGCTGTGCGTGTATCATGCATGTTTGTGAGTGCTGTGCGTGTATTTTGCTCGTGAGTGCTGTGCGTGTATCATGCATGTTTGAGAGTGCTGTGCGTGTATCATGCATGTTTGTGAGTGCTGTGCGTGTATCATGCATGTTTGTGAGTGCTGTGCGTGTATCATGCATGTTTGTGAGTGCTGTGCGTGTATCATGCATGTTTGTGAGTGCTGTGCGTGTATCATGCATGTTTGTGAGTGCTGTGCGTGTATCATGCATGTTTGTGAGTGCTGTGCGTGTATCATGCATGTTTGTGAGTGCTGTGCGTGTATCATGCATGTTTTGAGAGTGCTGTGCGTGTATCATGCATGTTTGTGAGTGCTGTGCGTGTATCATGCATGTTTGTGAGTGCTGTGCGTGTATTTTGCTGGTGAGTGCTGTGCGTGTATCATGCATGTTTGAGAGTGCTGTGTGTGTATCATGCATGTTTGTGAGTGCTGTGCGTGTATTTTGCTCGTGAGTGGCTGTGCGTGTATCATGCATGTTTTTGAGAGTGCTGTGCGTGTGTCATGCATGTTT